CCTAAACCTGAAACCAACGGAGAAGAGAAAAGATGGCAAATGAAATCTTCACTCAACTTGTAACATAAGAGTGGCAGCTGTTATCAGTTCTGTATTTTAATGAATGTCATTGCTTCTGAGGCTTATGATAATATCTTTTATTGTTGAATATAACCATCATTAAAGGTCACCATTCCATAGGCTGTATCACTCACGGCTGGAGGAGATTCCACTTTGGATAAATTCACAATTTTTCTTCCTAACAAGGTGATTGTATCAGGATTTGAATGTTCAAGAGTGCCAGGTTATATATTAAAGCCCTTTGTATCTGGGAAGCCAAGCTGGGTCCTGGCAGCTTCAGGATTTTGAGTCAAGCATCGAAGGTCCCAAAGTCAAGTTGGTTGATTAAAGAAGGTCTTTGGAGCCTTTGAAATATAGATAAAGTACAACACTCTTCTATGGGGTTAAGTTGAAATTTCTTTTTCTCTTGACAAGGCCATATGCTTTTTCAAGGACTCATAATTTTAATCTTATTCTCAACCTTTCATATGAACATTGAAATGGCTCCTTTATGGGAGTGATGCTTTTTTGTATTAAATATATACATTTTATAGGCTTTAAACTGTGTTATATATGATACATTTGGTATGGAAATTGTTGTCTCCCTAGAATTCTGTAGCTTAGTACCACTTTTCAATATACCTTTTTACACTACTAGGAAGGAATATTGTGTTTTAGGACAAAAAATGGATGTAGATATAAATATAGACATATACATACAAATTTATGTGGGTGAATTTGGAGTAGGGTCAGTGTAGAGGTAGCCTTGCATTTTCATAAGTGTAGGGGAGCTTCTAGTGTGGAAACTCCCTTTGCTACATACCAGAAATTTGCCTATATTTTAGATTCATAGGGAGTTGCCTGAGAGATTTAATGACTTGCCCAGAGTTGTAGACAATGTGTGTCAAAGACACACTTAAAGACTTAAACCCAGATCTTTCTGACAAGACTAGCCCTGCATGTTCTGTACCATGTACTTCTGATATACATATATATACATGTATAGGTATGTATATATGCCTATATGTATGTGTACATTCATCCCAAGAAGAGCTGGTATAGAGAAATGGCTACCACTAAGAATGCTTCCTGGGATTCCAAACAATTCAGCTACAACCTTCCCAAACCCTGACAGCTCACCTGAGTCTGAGTTACTCTCCACAAGCAACCTGATCTGCCAGAAGGCTCTACAACAGCAACCAGTCTGTTAACTACTAGTGGTAGACTCCAGCTCTTCCTCCTCTTCAAATCCCCTACTATATACAAGTCATCCTGTGTGCCCATACTTGCAGCACAATACAGCACAACTGTGAAATACCCTTCTTCTCTGGTGGTTCTGTCCATGGTGCTGATACCTTAGACTTCAGTGGTAGGACAAGATCCAGAACAGAAACTGGAAAGAAAAGAGTATAAAATAAGTAAAGCAAGTATAAAGCATCAATTTGCTTCCTCCACTTTGCTGAGTTTTTAATTTAATGGGACAGGTTGTCTGTCTGTCTGGAATGTGTTCATATGAAATAATAGTGGAACTCAGTAATTTGGAACCAGCTTCTCACCTCTAGTTCTTTGGGAATTCAATAATGCCTGTTGCTTTCCCTTCCCTACCTCCCATGCACATCCAAATGTTTCTCTGTATCTGATGGGAAGTGATGACCAAGACAATAATAAATAAGTGGAGGGCTCTAGGGTTACATAACTCCAGTGTAATTAAATTGAATGCAACCTGGAAATCAAAACAAATTACTTATCATAAGAACAATTTATGACTTCAGACAGCCCAACTCTGGAGGAATGAAAGAGGAAAAGGATGCAAGGAAAGGAGGGGGGCAGGGAAAGGAAACTACATCAGTTAAGATAAATAGAATAGTTTTCCATACTAATGGTAAATCGGCAGTGCAATTATTTATCTTGTAATGCAAATACAAATGGAACAATATTCTGCGAAATGGTTGAAGAGCAATATTAGAAATGAGGCTCAGAATATGAGAAACTGCATAATGCTGCTATTAAAAATGAAGGTAAATAAAAATTAGATGAGCCAAAACAAATGCTTCACTAAAAAACCAGTCTTACAAAAATCTTATACAAGGTAGTGTTCTACCATCAGCAGAAGGTCACTAATGACCAGCACCCTGGCTACAGATATGGGTAGTTATGAACAAATATCTAAGCAAAGAAAAGATGGCTGGCTTTGCTATATATTCACAGTAATTGCTGTTTGGGGAAGGACAATGAAGTGCATAACATTGGCTCCCTGTCCCTAATTCTAAAGTATGTCAGGACCAGGGAGGCAGTCATATGAAATAAGTTTGAATGACTCCAGACTGACATTCTCTAGGACCAGATATGATTTACTTTAAATTTTTAAAAGGCTCAAGGCAGAAATTCAAGGCCATAGCAATGATCTGGAATATGTCCCTGAGTTTAACGTTCTCACTTCAGCCAAGGTTCCAGAATATATGATATTTCAGCTCCAAGTAAGTGAGCCACGCCACTGGAGAAGGTCCCAGTGCCCATCAACATGTCATTGCCAGCTTGCCAGACCACATTCAACTAACCCAATGGGAAAGAACCCACACAAATTCACTGGGAGAAAATCCTGCTTAAGTAATCTCTCTGACTTCACTAGGGGAGACAACAGAAGGGATCAATAATCAAACTGTGCACATGGCACAATCTAATGGCTTTTTAAAAATCTTTTGACTCTTTTCTGTAGCTGAAAGTTCAAGTTGGGCCTAGGCATAGATAAAGAACTTATAATACAGCAGAAAATAAAAAGGCAGGAAAACCACTGCCAGTCCAGAGGATAAGTAAATGGAAACCCACTGTTCTCCTACACTCAACAGGCTGGATTGACAGAGGAAAACATGATGGGGTTTTGCTAATCACAGATTTGAAACAAATTATGTTTGTGGAGAAGGAAGGCAAGTGGTCCTTGAAGGAAGCAACCACACGGGCTCTAGTTTGGCATGGAGCAAGTCAAATAGTTTGTTGTAGGATGAGAAATAATATATTTTGGTTGCAAAGTCTATATGTGCAAACAAAAAAAAATTGTCACATGAAAGGTGACAGGATCAAGAATAGGCACTTCAAAGGGAGCCTTGAGAACAGTGAGAAAGAATGTAAAGCAATATTATAATCCTTTGTAATCAACACACAACTGCATATATGAATGTTAAAGGCAAGTTATGTCAACTCAGGGCTTCTTCAATTCCTTCTATACCTTAGATGGAAGTTTTAATAACTGAAATTAAATCAGTACCCAGGAAATAAATGATGTTCTTCAGGCATCAGGAGCAAACTGGAAGGTGCTTCCATAAGGATCTTTGGTGAATGGGGCAGGAGATGGGTACCAAGAAACAAGGGCACTAGAAGGCTCCCAAATGTGTAGGACATAACTGTGTCCATCTGTTGGGACATGGCTGAACAAATCTGGATAAGCAAATGTAATGAAAGATTCTTGTACCGTAAGGAACAACAAATATGGCAAATTTGGAGTAGCGTAGGAAGACTTGTATGAACTGATGCCATGAAGTAAACAGAAGCAAGAAAACAATACATTATACATAATGCTAAAGTAATATAGATGAAAATAACAATAAAATGAAGACAGATGATATATAATTATTATAACAGTCTTGGCCCTGGGGGAAAGAAAAGAAAATGCCACACACTGCTTTTGTTGGAAAGGTGGGTGACACTGTGTGGAATCTTTCATACACTGTCAGACATGGTTGTTCTATTTATTGGTTTTTCTTTGTTATAAGGAAAGGCACATGGGTTAGAGGTTAGGAAGGGGGTATATCTGGAAATGACTGCAATGTAGATACAAAAAGCATTAGGAAAACTTAGAATAAGTTAATAACTAAAAATGAAAATAGTATAGCTTCTTTCTCCCTGTCCCTAAACTCCCAATCTCCTTTGCTCCCCTCACTCGAATTCTGTCTGGCATAATTTAAACAGCATACTTCCTAGAGCCTGGAATAAAATAGATCTGCTTCTCCTAGTTTTCTGACTCTACTTTATCAGTTTTTACCCTGGGAGACAAAGATAAGAAAGTAGTGAGAATTGTGATAGAGAGAAGGAAAATGGGTTCATGTAGTATATTAACTTTGTAAAAAGGGGGGAGCAGATAAATAGACTAACAAATGGCTTAAATAGAGATTCTTTCCCAGGATATCTCAGCAAGTTCCCTAAGAAAGGGTTCCAATGGTACAGTAGCAGCCATGCTGGCCTAGGAATCAGGGGACCTGGGTTCAAACCTCAGCTCTATTGCTTACTGCCTGGATGGCCTAAGGCTAGCCATTTCACCTTCCTGGATTTCATCATCTGGAAAGTGAGTTCTCCATGAAGGTATAAAAGAACAAATAATTAATCATGCCCCCTCTCTCATAGCAAAAAGGTAAAAGGCTACCAGGGCAGAATATTATCTACATTGTTACATACAGTCACTGTATCAGGTGTTTTGCTTAATTATCATTGGGTTGGGATTTTTTTAGTCATGAGTGAAGAGGGTGAGAATTGACCATGATGTAGAGACAAAAGCATTAAAAAAATTAAAAATAAAATAAGTGATTAGACTTGGTTATCTCTAAGATCTCTTCTGGACAAATCTAGTGAAAGTCAACCTCAAAAGTAGACTTAAAGGGGGGAAAGTTACCAAAGGACAGTGTGGCAGGGAGATTGTTTTGGTAATGGAGATGGTAGAAAGTTGTGGGCTAATTATATATGAATCTGAGGTCCAGCTGTCTTACCTGAGTCACTAACCAGCCACTCTGATTCACCATCTGTACTGTAGGGACAGCTCTAAGTGGAGAGAAATAAGACAAACTTTGTAAACTTCATGGTTTTACCCCAATAGAGTCATGCTCCTATTGACAATGTTACCCCTGACATCTGATAAGTTGGACTGTCCAAACCCTAGAGACTGACAAATAACTATCCCTTTCTCTATCTTGCAGTATGCTGGTGAGGTCCCAGAAAACCGAGTGGAAGTGGTGGTAGCCAACCTCACTGTGATGGACCGAGACCAGCCTCATTCTCCCAACTGGAATGCTGTCTACCGTATCATCAGTGGAGACCCATCTGGACATTTTAGCATCAGAACAGATCCTGTTACCAATGAAGGAATGGTCACTGTTGTAAAGGTGGGTCTTTGCTCTTCTCCCTGTCTTTCATAGCCACTCTTCCAAATGTCCCCAAACTGCTCCTGCTGTTCAATCTCATATAATGTTGTAGAACTGGACTGGTTGTTCAGAGACCTACATTTCAATCCTGACTCTGGCCCTAACTCTCTGTGACCTTGAGTAATACAATATAAATTGATGAACATATCTTAAGCACCTACTCTGTACAAAGCGCTGGCGATACAAAGACAAAAATTAAATACTCCCTGTCCTCAAGGAGCTTACATTCTACTTGGGGAGAGGGAAGACAATACATACACAGTTAAATAAATACAAAGCATATACAAAGTTTTTTCAAGATGTACAAAGCACTAAGAATTGAGACATCAGGGGCAGCTAGGTGGCACAGTGAATAGAACTCTGGCCTTGCAGTCAGGAGGACCTGAGTTCAAATCCAGCCTCCAACACTTGACACTTCCTAGCTGTGTGACCCTGGGCAAGTCACCTAACCCCAATTGCCTGACCAAAAAAGAAAAAAAAAAGAATTGGGACATCAGAAAAGCCTCATGTAGGAGGTGGCCCTTGATCTGTGCTTTGAAGAAATCTCAGGATTTTATGAGGTAGAAGAGAGGAGAGAGAGCATTATAGGAATGGGACATAACACGTACAAAAACTGGGAGGCAGGAGATTGAGTTCCATGTATACTTTTCCCCTCTGGACCTCAGTTTACCCATCCATAAACTGATAGGGTTGGAATAAATTATTTGTATGGTTCCTCTGAGCCCTGGTAGGCTGACATCAGCTATCAAATGGAATAGAAAAGTGAAAAGTCCCCATGGAACTATTCCTGTACTTTTTAAGTCTCCTGATGCTCATTAATATGGCATATGTCAGCCTTAGGAGCAAAGTATAACAGGTTTATGTAGACCAAGTAGGAGATGGGATTATGGTATCATTTCCACACCATGAGGAGGGCACCCTAACCCCAAAAGTCATCTCTCTTACTTCTCACAGATGAGAAAATTGAAGGAGGAGAAGTGACCTACCTAAGACCATATAGGTCACAGGCAGCAGAACTATGATTTGTACCCAAGAACTCTGACTGCAAAATCTAGCTCATCACCATGGGTGATCTGGTTAAAAACCAGCTCTCAAAGGAAACACACACACACACACACACACACACACACACACACACACTAAACTTTTAAGTGTAATCTGCATTTTTAACATTTTCTCCATTGCTTTCTCAAGTTTAGATAATCAACAAAATAATCAATCAAGCTCTGATTTGTAGTATTTACTGGTTTCCAAGATGTAAACATTCATACTAAAAATTTAACAATCAGCTCTTGAGCCAATACAAGCTGACTCCAGCAATCTCCAATTACCATTGTTTGTGTAGAACTTTCTCTTAAGAAAACTATTAGAGGTCTCCTGGGAAATAGCCCCCATTTAAATTATCTGTCAGCCTAATAATTTATCCATTCCACCCTTTCCCAAAGTCACTGCATTACATAGTATTAGGAAGGGACATACTCTGTCATTACCACTACCTTCCCTATCACCTCCTCTTAAAAAATGGGTGCAGGGGGACTGGGAATCTAAGTCTTCTCCATTGCCATTCTGGCCTTCACCATACAGGCTGATAAGTGGGGCCAGCCTAGCCATCTGCCTCTGTGGTTATTATTCTGCACAGTCAGGGCTTAGCTACATTGGTAGGACACTTGGTGAATCATTTCCCAGATAAGAGTCCTACAGATGTTTCCACGGACTATCAAGAGCACAGGGAAAGTTTGAATAGGTGGCTGTGATCCAGGGGTGTATGCCCTCCATGTACTGGGCACTGCAACTGAAAAGAATTATTTATGCCATTGCGAACAAAGACCTGCTACTGTTCGAAAAGAATGACCTTCACATACCAAAAGTGGAAGTGAAAAGGAGAAAGAGGCCAATAAAATATGCCTCTGATTTTAAATGGGAAACGGGGGTGGGGGAAAACATTTTAGAAAGACTTTAGGGAAACAACTGCCTTTTTTAAAGCTGAGAACCAGCAGTGCACATTATGTGAACTCAGTATGATAAGAGACTGACATTAACAGTGTAAAATCTTAGAACTGAATGACCCAGTAGATTCATAGAGTCTTAGAATCATCATCATTATCATCACCACTAGCATTTATATAGTGCCTATCATGTGCCAGGCACCATGCTAAGTGTTTTACAAAAATTATTTCATTTGATCCTCACAACAACCCTGGAAAATAAATGCTATTATTATCCCTGTTTTACAGTTTAGGAAAATGAGGCAAACAGAAGTTAAGTGACTTGACCAAGGTCACATAGCTAGTAAGTTTCTAAAGCTGGATTTGATCTCGGGTCTTCCTGAGTCCTATCTACTTTTAGGCCTATCCACTGTGCCACCTAGCTGCCTAGGGATCACGGGATAGAATTATATAGTAGAGCCCTAGAAATGAAAGAAAACTCAAAAAATGCCTGCCAAAAAATTCTGCTAGCAATCTTTTTTTCTTTCAGCACCTTCCAATATGTATGTGTTTATACAGGTTGTATATATGTGTAGATTTGTGTGTATACATATATGTGTATATATATATATATCTGTTTGTGTATTTGTATGCGTGTGTTTAAACACATATGAGAGGGTGAGGAAGGAAAGGATTGATAACAGAATTATTTGGCAGGCATTTCTTGAATCTCATATTCTAAGATTCTATCCCATGATTCCTTAGGTGATGCAATGGATAGAGCACTGGGCTCTCTGACTATTTATATAGTCAACACCAGTGTTTGTTGAAAATCTTTTGTATACGAAGCAAATTGATCAAAGGGAATTAAATTACTATTTAAGCTTTTTTTAAAGAGAGATTAAAGGTGGGGAAAGGGAACGGGAGAGACTCCTAGCTTCAGATGAATGTATCACCCAGGATTCACAATTATTTGTTCTCTTATATCTAGGATTGGTCATCATCCTTGGTAGAGTATGAGACTATCTATGTGGTATAGTTTGAGTGGTTCCTCAAAGCCCCCCAAACCAAAATATCTCCTTCATTGTATGTCACAGTACCAGAAATCCTACCGTTACACATACATTCCTTTGTGTATGATATGCCCATAGGACATTCAATTTGAGGTGTCCAAAGGCAGTTAGTGACATAGGACTTTTTAGTTCAAGAGAGAAACTAGGGCTGTATATGTGAATCTGGGAGTCATCTGCCTAGAGATAATAGACAAACCCATGAGAACTAATGAGTTAGCACAAATGGAGAAGAGAAGAGGCCCGAGACAAACTGTCGTGTGTACCCACGGTTAATAGGTATGACCTGGATGAAAATCCAACAAAGAAGAGAAGGAGTGGTCATACAAATAGGAGGAGAACCAGTGTAGAACAGTATCAAGAAACCCAAGAGAGGAGAGAGTGTGCAGGAAGAGAGGGTGATCAACAATATCAAGGCTTGAAGAGAGGTCAAGAAGGATGGAAATTAAGAAAAGACCCTTAAGAGAACATTGGTAACTTTGGAAAGAGCATTTTCTATTGAACAATGAAATTGGAAGCCAGATTGCAGAAGATTTAGAAGAGAGGCAGAACAAAGGAAGTGGAGGCACCCAGTGTAAATGACTTTCTTGAGGAGGTTAGCCAAGAAAAGAAGAGATATAAGATGATAGCTAGCCGAGAGGATCAGATCAAGTGATGGTTTTTAAAGATGGGTGAGATTTCAGTGGGTATTTCAGTGGATTAAATATAAGCTTCTTGAGGGCAGGGACTATTTTTTCTCTCTTATATCCCCACTAACTACTTTATACATAGTGGATGACTAATCAATGCTTGTTAAATTGAATTGAATGGTGGGTGTTTAATAAATGTTTGTTAATTAACTGTATATCACTTAATGAAATACATATAGAATTTGACCTTGCATGTCTATTTAAAACCTGTAAAGGATCTTTCTCTCCCCCTTTCTCTTCATATATAACAAAATCAACCTGAAGAAATGCTTCTTGGTATAACAAGGGACCTACTTTTAAATAAATCAAAGTTAAATAAGTGGACCTGTGTCCATAGCTGGGATCTTCGCATTTGCCAAACACTAGAGTAGTAGATACATTTGCTCCTGTATGTTGTGTAGCAAATCTGTTCCAGTGATCAATCTCTCTAATATTTAACCAATAGTAAATTGTTTTAGGAATTATGCTATGTAGTATTGTTTGAGATCTGGCACTGCTAGACCCCCTTTATTCTCACTTGTTTTCTTTATTCCACCAGAGATTCTTGATCTTTTTGTCCCCATATGAATTTTATTATTTTTTCTAGTTTTACAAAAATAATTTATAGTATTCTCTAGTTTTATATAAAATAATCCTTTGACAGTTTAATTGGTATAGCATTGAATAAGTATTATAATTTAGGCAGAATTGTCTTTTTTATTGTATTAGTTCATCCTACCCATAAGCAATTAATGTTTCCAATTTTTTTAGGTTTGTCATTCTTTCTGTAAATAGTGATTTGTAAGTTATATTTATAGAATTCTCATGTATATCTTGGTAGGTAGACTTCTAGTTATTTTATTTATCCTATAGCAATTTTAAATGGAATTTCTCTGGAAACTAAAAGGATGCCCATCAGTTGAGGAATGACTGAATAACTTGTGGCATAATGATCATGATGAAGCACTATTATACTGTGAGAAATAAGAAAAGATATGATTTCAAACTAGAAGAAAAATTTATGCCATGAGAGCAATATTGTAAAAATAAATGATTTTAAAAGCTTTTATAAACTGATGAAGAATGAAAAGAACAAAACCTGGAGGACAATTTATATGATAATAACAACTTTGTAAACTATGAGAACTATGATACAATGACCATCTGTGATTCCAAAGTATCAATGATGAAACACTTTATCTGCTTCCTGACAGAGGTGAATATTTAGCATGCAGAATGGAATATGTATGTCTGTAAATACATACACATACATTCCCATGAATATATGTATATCTATA